GCCTCGGCCAGGACCTCGCACTTGTACCTGCCGGAGGTGGCCAGCGTCACGTCCTTGAGCACCACCTGTTGTCCCGTGCTCGCCTCGTGCTGGGGAGGAGGCAGAGGGGGATTAGCGTTGTGACGGCCGGTCGCGAGCTGGAGTGGCTGCGGTTAGTTTGGGGGAAGCAGACATATTTAGCTCTTTCTTTCTCCTCTCTCTCTCTTTATCTCTCATTTCTTTCCCCTCTTTTTTTTCTCTCTCTCCCTTTGTTCTTTCACATTCTTCTCCACTCCTCTCTCTTTCTCTCCTCTCTTTCTCTCCTCTCTTTCACCCCCCCCCCCCCCGCTCTCTCCTGCCAACACCCTGCCACCTTCGGCCTGTCACTCACTCCTTCTGTTCTCTTGTTTAGCGCTCTGAATTCGTGAAGGTGTTCGGCCTTCCTCCAACTTTGAGTAAAAGTTCCAACCGAGGAAATAAAATATAAGAGCCATTAAACTTGCACAAGTTGCGCTCGGGTGCCGCCCTGCCCGCCTCGACGCGCCCATTTCGCCTCCGCCCACGACTCTCCCCGCCGCCCACGCCCCTTCCATCTGCTCGTCCTTATTCCTTCTCTCTCCACCTGTCTTTCATCGTTCCCCTCTTCGCCTCTTGTTTCGCCTGCCCTTTATCCCTCCTTCGGGAAAACTGCCTCGTCTGCAAGGCCATTATGACGTTTGTTAGGGTGTGCCTATTATCATTTTCATTATTGTTATTGATGTTATTCTTGTTTTGGCAATGATGATGGTAACGATAGCAGTAACAACAACAACAATAATAATATTACTGATGGTGATAATGATAATAATAATAATGATAATGATAAGGATACTACGACTGGGGTATTACTATTGCTGATACTACTAATAATAATGATTAAGATAATTACTGTCATTTTCATTATTATCATTATCATTATCATTGTTATCCTGACTACTATTATGGGCATTTTTATTGGTATTACTGATGTCATTGCTGTTATTATTATTATCATTATCATTGTTATTGTTATCATTATTATTGTGATTATTATCATTATTATTGTTATTATCATTATCATTATTGTTATTATTATTAGCATTATTATTATTACTATTATTACATATTATTATATATTATTATCAACCAGCTCCCACAGTCATCACCCCGCTGCCACGCACTCCTCTGCTCGCGCTCATCACAATCACCATCATAGGAACCCGAAGGAATTATCTCAGGAACGCAATGCCGTAACTTCCAATGTTTTAGGACATATAATTAAGACAATAAAGTGAGACGCTCCCAGGGTAGCTCTTTGGCCCGGCTGAAGAGGCTACGGTGCTCTGGCCTAGGCGTGAGGCTGGCTCTGCCTTCTCTGGAACTACACTATTCACTGAAATCATGTAATATGTTTGCTGAAATCATATTGTGTTCATTGGAACTGCTCAGTTCACTAAAAACATATATAATGTTCACTGAAATTATATTGTGTTCATTAGAACTGCTCAGTTCACTAAAAACATATAATGTTCACTAAAATAATATTGTGTTCACTGAAACTGCTCTGTTCAATTAAATCATATACTAGGTTTACTGAAATTACATTGCGTGCACTGTAACTCTGCTCTGTTCATTGCAAATCCGTCGTATGTTCATTCGAACTCAATATTCAGTATGTTATAATGCGATCACAGTAATATTCACTGTAATTCTCCTGTGGTCACTGTTATTATACTGCATTCACTGTAACTATGCTGTGTTTAATGAAATTATAGTATGGTAGCTATCCATGCTTATTCACTGAAAATGCAATAAAATATACTCACTATAACACTGCTTTGCTCATTGCAAATTAACTGTAATTTACTTTTACCATTTTATTATAATCACTGCAATTCTGTAATTCTTTTGTAGGTTCATTCTAAGTCTGCTACGTTCACTGTAACCCAGCTCTCTTTCTCTTAAGTCCCTGATACTTTTATGTATGTTCATTGCAGCTCAGCTGTGTCCTACAACCTTTTTTTGTTTATTGTAACTATGTTATAGCTTTCCTAAATTCTCTGGAAAATATTAGTGTTTCCTCAAAGTATTTTTGTTCCATTACAAAAGTTGACGTTTCTATACTTTGCTGCATTTCATTTCCATGGTCAATAACCTTATATTGTAACTTTTTGTTCATCGTATACACTTGTTGCACGCGCACCTGTATTGTTCATTCGATTATAACAGTATTGTACCTTAGACTGTATCTCTGGCTGGATGTTCGCTGATGGCCTGACCGCACTGTAACTTGTAACCTTTCTTTCCTTCGCAATTTAGTCTCCCATTCCTGCTTTAAATCGCCAGGATCTCCTTTTCGTGCGTTCTTCCCTCCACCGTCATGCTTGAATTTCATCTGTGTGGAAGTATACCATAGGAGTTCCCTATCTCCCTAGATATGCGTAGTTATTATTAGCCCGCTAGCTGGTATTCTAATTTTTCGTATGATTTCTCTCTATGCCTA